TATGACAATGGTTCATCTTAATATGCATAACAGTTTCCTCTAGACAGGGAGTTACAAGGAGGCTTGGTGTTCCCTAGGAAGAGTGATAGTCTGAAGTTGTTGGCATGTTATCTGGATACCTGAGAGCAGATGGTGGCCTCCTGCCTGCTGCAGATCACAGAGAAGCCACTGGGTTGTAGGAGTGGTAGGTAACAGATAGAAAACTGAGAGCAGCTGTGGTGGAGACTAGCTGCTTCTGTTTTCCTCCACAACACTGACAAAAGAGCATACCCAAGAGCAGTGTCACAGGATCTAAAAAGAGAGACTTCATTAAATCATTCAGTTGAGCCATCTTTGCTGGAAATATTGTCTTGTTTAATAACAATGCAAAAAGCCAATGGAAGGGACATGATGAGGTGAGGAAGAGTCCAGGATGGCTTGGTGAAGAGTCATGTGTGATACTGCGTTGAGCCTGCAATGCCTTTGCACATCCAGATAGTGTCCACAGGCAGTTGGGAACAGGACCTGGAGCTTAGGATAGGTCAAGACTGGAAGTCTAGGCACAGGGCTTCCCTGCCACATGGCCCCTGGGAGTTATCAGTGTATATGGGGGAGGGGAAGCCTTACATACAGATGAGACCACCTAGGAGGATCTAAGAGAAGAGAGAAGACTGAAGGACAGGACCCTATGGACATCTACCTCTTAAGTGCAGGAAGAAGATAATTCAGAGAAGGAGCTTGACTATCAATAAGAAGAGATGGGAGAGCCCTGGCCGGGTGGCTCAGTTAGAGCATCGTCCCGCACACCAAAAGGCTGTGGGTTCAGCTGAGTCGGGGCACATACCTAGGCTGTGGGTTTGATCCCTGCACATACAGCAGGCAACAGATCGATGTCTCTCTCTCACGTTGATATTTCTCTGTGTGTGTGTCTCTTACTCCCTCTTTCTCTAAAAAAAATCAATGGGAACATATCCTCAGGTGAGGATTAGAAAAAAAAAGGAGCGATTGGTATCACTAGTATCCACTGGATGCCCTTGCTGGTTTGGCTCAGTGGTTAGAGCGTTGGCTCTCAGGCGGAAGGCTCATGGGTTTGATTCTGGCCAAGGGCATGTACCTCGGTTGCAGGCTTGATGCCTGGCCCTGGTCAGGGCATGTGTGGGAGGCAACCAATCGATGTGTCTCTCTCACATCCATGTTTCTCTCTCTCCCCCACCCCCACTCTCTCTGAAAAGCAATGGAAAAAATATCCTTGTGTGAGAATTAAAAAATAATACCCACTGGAAATGACACCTGAGAGGTCAGGTCAAAGATATCATCAGTACTTTGCAGTGATAAGGCAGAAATCAGATAGCAGGAGATTGAGGAATAAATAAAGGTGAAATAGTGGAGACAGTAGTTGTATTTTCTCTGGAAGCTTAGCTCTAAAGAAAAATGAAGTTGTCAGAGGGATAGTTTTTGTTTGAACATTATTTTGAGCATGATTATTTGCTGAGGGAAAACACACAGGCTGGAGTCGTAGAAAATATGATCACTGATGCAGCTGAGAGAGAGAGATTAGGATCAAAGGACAGTTGTATGGATTAGACTTGGTTAGTACGTTTGGCTCTTTCTGCCGCAGTGAGGGAAGTGTCTCTTTGTAGAGGGTTGAGAAGTTAAAGGCAAATGATGAGAGGAAGGCCTGATTTTTCTCTTTAGAAGCTTAGTCAGTCAAGGCAAGGCGAGAAAGAACTTTAACCAGAGAATGCAAATGCAAATAAATCTGTACGGGATTGGACCCTAGCAGGTTTGGCTCAGTGGTTAGCGTGTCGGCCTGTGGACTGAAGCGTCCGGGTTCGATTCCAGCCAAGGGCACGTACCTTGGTTGCAGGCTCGATTCCTGGCCCCGGTCAGCTCGAGAGCAGGAGGCAGCCAATAGACGTGTCTCTCTCACATCGATGTTCCTCTCTCCCCCTTCCACTCTCTCTGAAATGCAATGGAAAAAATATCCTTGGGTGAGGGTTTAAAAAAAAATCTGTACGGGATTAGAACAGAAAAGCTGAGGGAACTGACATGTGATGGCCTCCATTTTCTCAGTGAAAAATGAAATAATATGATCAGGTAAGAGAGCATAGCGAAGGTTTGGCATAGGCACTGAGCGGAATGTGGAGGGGTGAGTAATACAATCGCGAAGTAGCATTTTGGCCTGGGAATATATACCCCAAGTGTGCACCAATCCACAAGATTGCATAGACTTTTTAAAGCAGGAGTCAGTTCAAGTTAGGACTGACGGGTGTTTCTGTCATGGATGAAAAGGACACCAGGACCCACAGGAGCTAAAGGTGTTGGCAAGGACGAAATCTAGCCCCCGCCACCCAGATTTTTCATGAGTCAAAACATTTAGCATCTTGAACAGAGACTCTTTTTTTTTTTTCTTTTCTGGGGCCTAGGATGAGTCCCTTATATTCAGAAGACATTCAGATATTTTTGAATGAGTAAATTAATGAACAAAATTGGACTCTGTTAAACACTTCTGAATACAAGAATCAGGTTTAAATTTTTATCTACTAGGGATGGATATACTGATTATCTCAGAGCATTAGAATTCTGTCCCAAGAATTATATCCTGTCATTTACTTATGCTCAAAATAATTAGGCTGACACCAAACTTAATAGAGTCCATTCTGTAACACAAAACTTTATTAGAATAAAAATACAAGTACAGTATTCAACATTTAAAATTATTTCACATCACATGTAGGATTTACCTGTTAGTTTTTTTAATGCTTTTAAAGCCTGAACTTTAAATAATTTGCACATCTGTAAACAAATCTTAGGTTACCAAAGATGCAATGTATCCATTTGATACTGAATATCAAAATTTAGAGATGGGAACTGATAGTTATATCCTATTGCACTAAATAGTTCTGTAAAAATTTAGAGAAGAAAAAGAGATTAAAATAAATCACTTGAAATGAGGTAAGCTGTATGAAAAGGTTTTTAGTAGCAAACATCACCACTGTTGAGATGAGAATATTAGAAACCTTCATGGAAAATTTACGTACATGTTTGTATAGTCTAGGTTAGTTTTTTAAACAAAAAATAAAAATTACTGAAACTCATTATTAGAAAAAGAGACAATTATCTGGTTCTACTTAAGATTTCTAAATCTTTCACTCAGAAAAAAAGAAGTAATACAAACATTCACAAGTGTAGCAAAAAGTAAAAAAAAAAAAAAAAGATTAGGACCAACAGTTCAAGCTGCCTTTTGGAAAGAAAATTAAAAACAGAGGTAGATGGTTAAATATTAGTGGCCAAGTTACTTGAAGGACTAATTTCTGTCTTGGTACACATTCACCAAATTTTTATGCTTGAAATCAAACAGCAAATAAGTTTAGGAGTAGAGAGTAAGACCTAGCACAAGTTATTTTCCTTGTAACAAAGAAAAGGAATAAAAATAAACCAGGCTTACGACCCCTGTTAAGGATATGATTGTTTAAAGCACTACAGTTCATGCACTTCTTAAAGCAGGAGGTTGAACTCTGTCCCTACGCTTCCTAGGGCTTCCCAGGTTTGCTTGAGGCCAAGCCACAAGCCCCGTCAGGTGTGGTCAGTCAAAGTAGGACTGTAGGGTGCCTCGGCGCCGGACATCGCAGGTCCAGCAGTGGAAGCCTCCTCCCAGGGAATTGGCGCTACGAATGTTAACCTTAATGGTACTGATACCTGCATTGAATGAGAGAGATGTGGCCAGTTAGACGGGCCCACATGAAGATGCTCCTACAGAAAGTGAGCCTAAAGACGGGCGGGAATCCTGCGGTTCTGATCCTTAAGTCTACACCCAACCCAGGGGAGTCTTTCAATATTATCCTCACCAGTTATATTTCATCTGCTCTGTTCCACTTCTGATATAAAACATTCACCAAAAAGTCAGCAGAGACCCTGAAGTCTATTTTGTGCCACTGACTATCCACAAGCCAACAGGCAGGATGAGCGCACTCGTCTGTCAAATGTTCAAAACGATCAAGCACTAAACTGTCAAGGCCGTTTAGAATTATGCTTTAACTATGTCGTCAGACTGTTTCTAATTTCATCGTGTCCACTGAGTAGGAAAAGTATAATTTTCCCCACCTGAAAGGTTGACTGTACTTACTCACATACAAGCAAAGTTGATCTGATAGAATTAACGTTACCAGGCCACCTTAAGGAAACAACGGAACAGAGCTCATATTTTAATATCTGGGTTGTATGGTCATACTGGTACTGAAGCTACTGAGACAATTAATTAGTGTAATCTGGTACCACTTGTGTTGACTTGGCCACGAGATGCCCAATCAACCAGTGGTATTTAGGAAGAATCCGTTGTGGTTGGCATAATGGGGTTTTAAAAAGAAAATCTGTTCTCCTCCCTCAAGAACCCATTATTTTGAGGGGAAAGATAAGCTATAGAGTCACTAAAGTTTCCACTGGTATCGTCAGGGAGGGGAAGGCGGCAGGAGTCATCTGGAAAAGACTTACCTGAGAAAGTGAGACTGAGCAGGGCTCTGAAGAGTAAGAGGAGGTGGGACAGAGGTAAGGAGTGGGCTTGGGATAAGGGGTGAGCTTTCAAATGCAAGCATTATTTCCTGATAGACAGATGAATCTGTCCTATTCAGACTGCTAGATCCATATTAATCCTGAGTTGGAGAGAATTCAGTTACTTGAAAAGGTTTGCTTTAACAAGTTCCCTGGGTCTAAAGAGACTTTTTTACAAATAAAATGATAAATCAGATCTTTGGTACTCGATAATATTTTAAGTTGACAAACAATAAAGTTGTACTGGCTGAAGAAACTGAACCCGAGCAATTGGGTTACCTAATGAAAGCCAGGGAAAGAAGTGGAGTAACATTCGGGGTTAAATCATTAGACTGGGCTCAACCTGACTCTGACAGGCGAATCCTTTTATACTAACGCTGCTTTAAGAAGGGATGTGTGAAAGGGGCAAGTAATTTTTTTCTGGGTAGTACACCTGAAATAAATAAAAACATGACGCAATTACAACAAGTTTACTTACCTGGCTTTATTTGACACCCAGGATATGTCACGTATGTTAGGAGTGATCAACACACATACTTCTGCACTCTATATAACAGCTATATGCAAATCCTTTCTTTCGACACTTTCCTCCCTAGTATTAGAATATCTGGTCTAAATTTTGAATATCAGGATAAGCAAACTCCAACCCAAGTGAACATCAGTTCTGCTCTTTAGTCTAAAGTTGAATGATTCACTGACATCCTCTATTGCATTTCATTACTTTGTTCACTGTGCTTATCACACATTTAAGTCACTTACGTGTCTGTACCCTTGTGTCATTTACAATATGTAATGACACATTCCTTTAAAGGACGCTCAGCAATTTCTCGTTTGAGGAAGGGCTGACTAATGTATATGCTCAACTACAAAGGGGTAGTTCTACACACATGGGCACCAGGAGGTTATGTAAGTCACAGAGGATGGGCAAAGTTATTGCTAAGGGAGTGACTGAGGGGCCCGGGATGGACTGCCAACCTTTCGAGGTTATGATTGTTGAAAACAAAAATATTGTCCATCTACAAAATAGTAAGTTGGTACCTCTAAAAGGAACAGAAAAAGAATTAGACAAAGCATAGATGAAATCTAGCATGTCATTTCTTCAGTTCTTCATACATGACAACATGCCTCATATATTGTACATACCCAGCTTTTCAAACATCTTTTGAATCGGGACTTCATTGGCATCCACCATAACGCGCTTTTCATCGAGCATCAGGACATTCATGGAAAGCCATTTGGAAGACATCCAGAGCGGGTGATCTAAAAGTAGCCACAACTTTTATTTATTTATTTCTTTATTAATATAACTTTATTGATTTCAGAGAGAGGAAAGGAGAAGGAGAGAGAGAGATAGAAACATCAATGATGAGAGAGTCATTTATTGAGCCAGCAACCCCGGGCATGTGCCCTGACCAGGAATCTAACCCCAATTGCCTGGATCCCAGGTGGAGGCTCTAACCGCTGAGCCACGCCCGGCTGGGCTAAAAGTAGCAACGACTTTTAAATCAAGTCTGCTATCGTTTTTGTTTAAGGCAAGGATTTGAAAGTGAAGAATATTAAAGTGACAGTTCAATTTTCAGAGTTCACTTTCCCTGCAAAATTTTTATCTTAAGACAATTTATAAATGTTATGAATCAAGCTATACTCATTACACATGTGGATTTCACTTTATTTACAAAGTCATTTCTTGCTTTACAAGATGTTATTTTATACTGATTTCCCCCATCTTTTCACTCTCATTTTCTATGGAAGGAGAGGTTGTGAACACAAGTGCAGTCTTGTTCTAGTCTCCATAGTCCCAAGTGCCATTCACTCCTTACTAGGGAAATGTTTTCTCTAAATGTCTAAAATTTGAGCTGCTGTCTGTAAGTGAAAGATTCTTGGTCAGTGAAGTAATCATTTTAGTCTGAGGGTATACAAAAGTAAACCTACCATCTGGGATGACTGGTATTGGAGGAGTAACTATGGTCCATCCTGCTTTCTTGAAAAGATCAATCTGCAAGACCAAAAAAACCCGAGAGGCATAAATCTATATATACTATTCTCATCATTTTTGGTCTCTGGTAGTCCTTATGATTAATAATTATTTTTGAGAATCTATCTTCTCAATTGTCAATATAAAGAAATTAAATTTTCAAGCCATTTGTATGATTTTGTCTCAATCCTAATTTAAAATGTACATAAAATCCCCAGATCACCAGATTAAAGTTTAAAAGTAACAGAAATGTTAAAACTTTTAAAAATATTCTTGTGCTTCTCTCAGGTTTCAGAAATTTTAAAATACCAGACACTTTTTTTTTGAGAAATCCTCTTTAAAGAAATAGAAAATGTTTCCTAACTATTTAGTTATGAGAAAATGTGACTGTGTCAAACCATAGTCCATCCACTTCATAGTCCGTCACTTTGTATCTATGACCATGGTATAAAGACAATGTTAGGGCTGTACTACCAAAGAACACTAATTGTCCTTAGGGACCTATTTATTATAGCTCAGCCGTCCCTATGTTCACTTAGCACAGCAATAAATTATATTAAAATGAAATGTATAATTAATCTTCGTCATTGGATCTAAGTTTATGGGATAAAATGAAGAGTGATATGGTAAAATAGTGATTTTAAAAACATGTACTACAGCCTAACAAAGAACAAAATTACTCACCACCCAACTGGAAGTGGGGAGCAGAAGTAGGAAGCATAGGACCAGCCTCCCTCTGGGGTAGGGCTGGCGGAAGGAGGCCTGACCCACAAGAGAGGGAAGAAGACACCCATTGCCCCTGGGCAGTGGCATTGCCCAGATAGGCAGGGATCATCTTGTTTGCAGTGCAGCTGCAACTGGAACCTCGGCTGCAAGTTATGATATATAGTAGCCCCCCTTATCCATGGTTTTGCTTTCCAAGGTTTCAGTTACCTGTGGTCAACCATGGTCCAAAAATATTAAATGAAAAATTCCAGGTATTTTGAGAAAGAGAGAGAGAGAGACCACATTCACATAACTTTTATTACAGTATATTGTTATAACTGTTCTATTTCATTATTATTGTTAATTTCTTACTGTGCCTAATTTATAAATTAAACTTTATCATAGGTATGTATGTATAGGAAAAAACTTAGTATAAATAGAGTTTGAACTATCCATATTTTTAGGCATCCACGGGGGAATCTTGGGACATATGCCCCGTGGATGAAGGGGAACTACTGTAATATCACTCTGTTCAATAGAAACATACACATAGGCACAAACCCGAGGCTCTCACAGCAGCAAGCAGCCAAAATCTGATGACACTACACTGTATGTGTCCGAGTGCTGGATTTCTTGTAGTAAATATAACATAAGCAATCCAATTTGGTCATAATAATGTTGAACATTGCTGAATTTGTCATTTGGAACCATTAGGAATCACGGAAGTGTTTAAAGTTAAAAGCGGCAATGACTTCAACTGCTACACTCTGTTACTTTTCCAGAGTCCTCACAACTTCCTTACCTGGTGACACGGTCGGTCCGGGTTGGAAAGCACAAGACCAGGTCCAATGATATTGAAGGTGGCATCAATATGCATTGGATTGGGATCTTTAAAGGAGAGGATATGCACTCTGTAGTCTGGAGCAAGATGCCTGCGCATCCATTCAATGCCCATGTAGTTTGTAACCTGAAAACAAAAGGAAGACATAAATCTATAAAGATTTGGTTCTACGATCAGAAAACTAAAAATAGTGTGAAAATATCTGAATTTGTAAATTGAAAAATACAATATTAAAGTGTGAAATTTCAGAGGCAGCCTTTATCAACCTGGCTTCTCTGTGCAAAAATATCTCTTCCAGCTCGAATGAAGTCAGCAGCATCGAAGCACGGCTCGAATTCAGTCGTCACAAATTTTCCCTGAGCAGCCAATTTGTGTCTGTCTTCTACAGAATGAATGGGGTAATCCTGATTGGAACAAGAATGAACACACACAATGCACTGGTTCATGAGAAAATTATTTATAGGACATTCATTACTAAGAAAATTAGTCTATCATCATCATTTCCCAAAATATCGCTACCCTGTTCTAGACTAAAACATGCAAGATGTTGGGCTATACTGACCAAACCAAAAAAACCAACTAACAACAAAAAATGGCACAACGGCAATTTCCTGATACTTAGAAGCAAGTGGTACAGAGGCAGGAATGATTCTGAAAATATCCCATGGCCCCATACATTGATTTATGTCACTACCTACAACATTGAAAGTCAACAGGATGAAGTCATTCTGTTCTTTTGGAAAAGGAATTTGGTTCTGAGCCTACCTCTTACCATAAAATGAGATGCCATGTTTCCCCTGCCAAATTTCTTTGGGTGTGGTGGAATGAACTTATTATTTATTTCTGTCTTTAAACCTCTAGAAGAAATTTTGTTTTTTTTTTAAATTCTTTCTATAAATGATCAAATAGTAAGTGACCTAATAAGGGACATATACTTTCTTTTACTGTGAATTTGGCCTGTAGACCAAATTCTTTGGCCAAATTTTTTTTCTAGAAGAGAACAGAGTCTGGTGAATTCTCTCTCCACCAATGACTAGCTGTGTGCCTTCAGGCAAATTCTGCTGCTCCCTGTAATAGCATGATACTGTTTCCTCATGGGGTGATTGTGAAGTGTAAACAGGACTAAGCATGTAAATAACACACTTAGCTCAAGACCTGGTATATGGTAAGCACCAAATAAGTATCAGCCATTATTACTGTTATTATCACAATATCATTTACTCTTATTTTTTATCAAAAAATGCGTAACAAATTCAAGGTGTCAGAGAATCTCCATTTTACTCTCTGTGGATGATTTAGAAAAGTTACTAATACGGGCACCTGTAGTTAGGGACTTACCTGGTCATAAAGCTCATCAGCCATTGTGGGCTTAGGAGCCGTGGTCCACTTGGCACCGCGGTGGAAGTAATCTTTGATAATTGATCGGTATGCGCGGTACTCAAAGAAGCGAGCGCGCCAGGCCATGGGAGCCTCGATAATCTCATTCCCCACGACTATCAGGATGTCTCGAGGCATCGCACCATATAAACCTGTCGGACCAGAAAGACCCGCGACAGCCTCAGTAACGCTAATCGCCAAGACAGAGAAGTCTACATACTACGATTCCATTTTTTGGTTAAAGAAATGTACAGAAAATCTGTATGTGTGAATGTATAATTATATGCAAATGGAAAAAATATGGGATGATAAATACTAGATTGTTAACATGAATTCTGTGTGAAGATGGTGAAGCCAAACAAAAAAAAGACAAAAGAAAAAAATGGAAGCAGTAGGGTCCTTGGTCAAAGAGGTCCTGAACCACCAAGTTTTCACCTTTTCTAAGTTTTTTTTTTTCCTACACAGAAACAGAGTTGTTCAGGGAATATATCAGTGCCACAAGATAAAAGCTGGGCCAAGGATCACTTCTAGAACTGTAAAGTAGAACACTGAACTCAGGCACATGAGCAATCTTGTAGCAGAGTTGGTTAAAAATAAAATGGGAATGTTTCTTTTCCTCTCTTAACTTCTGTTCTTGAGGAAAATTAAATAGAATCCACTGTTCTTATGTAACAAAATTACCATAAAGTTAAGAAAAACTGATTCTTTCAAGGAGATTCCAGATTTACAATGTAGTTTTGAACGTGTACATCTTAATCATATCAAAAAGAACCGAACTGTTCCTAAATAATCGTTAAAGTTTTGAAGAATTATTAAAACAAAGGAATCTCTGAGAAATAATCAGAGTTTTCTCCTTACACATTAAGAAAGAAATTCAGAATTAACACACTAGCAGTTTAGGGATCTGACATCACTTACCCGTAGACTCAAAATCAGGAGTTTTATACTTTAACGACCAGTCAATGGGGTCAGGCCTCCTCACTGTCACTCCTTCCATTTTTAAAATATTGCACATTTCTTCAATTTCAGCAACAGCCTTTTTCAAATGATCTTTGGGAAAATAATGGCCTCCATGCTTCTGGTAAAACGGCCAGTACTTTTCATATGTGTTGGCCTAGAAGCAGAAGAAAACACGACTCACGATAGGTTTGCGGGTGGTGAGCCGTGACTCGTATAGCTTAACGGAAAGAGACTGAGGCCACATCTTGTCCAGCATCGAGCCCCAGGACGGAGCAGTGTCCCTGGGAAGACACTCAGTATTTGCTGAGTGAGGAAGTTCTAAATGCCTTTGCTGTTTTAAGACCTTTTGTTTCTTTTGTCTGATACCATTCACAGCATGTCTGCCCTCACACTGGCTTGGAACCCTCTTGGGCCAGTTTGTACACGCTTCGTAGACAAAACAGGACATAAGTGGTCCCGTTAGACAGTCTCAATGAAATCAAAGAAGAGCACAAATGACAGGGTGTAAGACAATAAAAGGACACCTACGGGCTATCCATCTAGAAAATCACTTAAAGGTATTTTGTAGGGAAATAGAGAGCCGCTCTCTTCAAGGTTAGGGACATACTCTCACATATGCTTTGTTTCTCTTTAAAATCCATTAGTGATTTCCCCATCCAGCAGAATTACCACTTTGCACAATTGGGCTGCAGTGCAAGTCTGCCGCCGGTGCTTCCTACCCGCCCGGCCGACATGCCTCACCCCACCACGCCTCTCCTCTCCCCAAGCCATTCAAGCTCGCATTGCTTCAGGTCCTTTTGCCATAGAAGAAAGTGATATAATAAACAAATTCACACATTTTTTAGTAGCTAAAAAAAGCTTAACATTTATAAAGTGACCAAGGATTATATGCATTTTAAAAGACAACTGAATGGAAAACAGTCGAATGCTTTTAAAAAAGCTTAATTTGCTAAAAATTACTGTTAAATTAGGATAGGTACAACTGTACAATATCGATTTTCAAAAGTATAAAAATCGAGAGGATTCTTTATTGGGATTGTTTTGCGTGTGGCTACGTTCCCAGTCAATTTAAAGAAATACATTGGGAAATGTAGGTGATGCATATGGATATAATTTACCAAGATAGATGAAGCAGAATTCCAGTCAGAAAATCCAAATAAGAAAAAGCCTTGGACCTTCATCAAAAGGTTGGCAAAACAATGTACATTTATATATTTTAAGTTTTAAAAAAATGTTTAAAGCAGGTATTTAAAAAACATTTCCATATATCATTGATTAAATGACCAACTACCAGTCTTGATCCTGTCAGATAAGACAATTTCAGATAGCGGTAAGTGCTATCAGGAAGGGAAAACTGAGTAATGAAATATAGTTAGTCTAAATGTCTAGCTCTTTAATGTCAAAGACAATGTCTTTTCCAGATTTTCTGTCTATAGTTCTATTTTCACCTCAGCCTAATAAATATCGAACATATGGAAGCAGACCTGACCCTTGTTAGTTCAGTATCTGGGTTCACATCAGTTAGGCTGGAGCTGAGCCTGCTGGAGAAGGGGTAAGGAGCTGAAAAACAGCCCAGCCAGTGTGGCTCAGAGGTTGAGTGTCGACCTATGAACCAGGAGGTCACAGTTCGATTCCTGGTCAGGGCACATGCCTGGGGTTTTGGGCTTGATCCCCAGTAGGGGGCGTGCAGGAGGTGGTCCATTGATGATTCTCTGTCATCAATGAATTGATGTTTCTATCTCTCCCTCTCCCTTCCTCTCTCTGAAAGAATCTGAAAAACAGGTCTTTAGCAAACACAAAGAATGCCAGTGAAGCTCTAAAACAGAGGCTGGCAAACTAAAGTCCATGGGCTAAATCTGCCCTCTCTGCCTGTTTTTGTAGATAAAGTTTTAAGGGAACAGAGACACATTCATTTACGTACTGTCTATGGTTGTTTTGCACTACAATGGCAGAGTTGACAGTTGAGTAGTTGCGACAGAGACCTATGATCTGCAAAGTATGAAATATTTATTATCTGATCCTATATAGAAAAGTTTGCCAACCCCTGTCTAAATTATTAGTTAGTTGCTTTACTTTTGAAGATCAATAGGCAAACAACAGACTCAATATCTGGCCCATGAAAAATGTTATCAATATTAAAATTTTTAGTACTTCTGTTTTTTATGAAAAATTTTTAATGCTGCCCTTGCCAGTTTGGCTCAGTGGTTAGAGCATCGGCCCGCGGACCAAAGGGTCCTGGGTTTGATTCCAGCCAAAGGCACGTACCTCGGTTGCAGGCTCGGCCCCAGTCGGGGCTCAAGTGGGAGGCAACCACTCGATGTGTCTCTCTCACATCGATATTCCTCTCTCTCCTCCTTCCACTCTTTCTGAAAAAGCAATGGGAAAAAAACTTTTTAATGTTGACACTGTTGCAGATGCCCCCCATTTCCCCCCTTTGCCCACCTCTACCCACCCTGTCTCCCCCCTCCCTTGGCCTTCACCGCACTGCTATCCATGTTCATTGGTATATAAATATATTCTTTAGCTAATCCTTCTACCTTCTTTATCCAGTCACCCTCCCCTCCTCCCCTTTGGCACCCGCCAGTCTGTTCCATGTAGCCATGTACTTTTTAAGATCAATCTACTCTTAAAAAAACAAAACAAAAGCACTCCACAGTTTTCTACGCCTAGGAGGTCCTGCAGCAGCAACCACAGCAGAGGGTAATAATGACTCTTTATATTCCTCTCAGACACATCCCGGTACTGCACCCATTCACCGCTTCCTCCTTCTCATGCCAGGCACATCTTTTATAATCCACTGCGGGACAAGAAGCCTTTGAAAAGTTAACACTGGGTCATGGCAGGTGCACAGCCTGTCGCCTTGCCAGGCACATTCCGGGGTAGCCTGTGTCACTATTTGTGCCGAGCGAAGCTTGCCTACATAAAGTAAACTTCCCCGGGGAGAAAAAAGTTGTTTGAACAAGTGGCTAAGGTTGGACAAAGTCCAAGTGATCAGGGTACATTACATTTTCCAAGAGATAGCTGGAAACGATTTATACTTCCTTTATAACCCTGCTAAATGAGTTAGCAATCATTTACCAAGTGTCTGCAAGATAAAAAAAACCACACACACTAAAATACTGTTTTTAATAAGATTATAGAGATGTGGCTGCATTCCTAGAAACTCTGTAGTCTTTCAGAGCCTAAAATCTTTCAGCAGGGTGGCCAAGTGGATTTTAAAACGATCTTTGAAAGGATCAATAGGAAATCTCAATAGAAATTTCTTAATTATCCAGGTGCAAACCTATTACATTAATTTTGATTGATTCTGAATTTCATAAAACATCCTTTACCAAGGGCTTTATAAAAAAAGACAAAAGCAAAACAAAAAGCACATATTTGGTGGAAAGTATTCATTATGTTTTGCAGAATTAAAAAGCCATATAGCTTTTAAAAATTGTGCTTCCTGACAACAATGTTCCTCACTCCCCCTAAAGTTTCTCTAGCACTTATATCTTCCCACGTGTCTTAAGCTCTAATTGCATGTAAACTGTTCACTACATTGTTTTATCTTTCATTGTCCCCACAGCTGATTAATACATCTGTGTCATTTTCCTCCAATTAAAAGGTAAGGCCCTGCCCCCAGGGGTCATGAATGTCTTAGGCTTGCTTTCCTCTCCTTCAATACCTATTTTTTAGTATGTGGCATAAAGCAGAAATATCCAGGCAAAGAAATGAAACCAGTACTGCTAATGCTACTACTATCTACAGCCATTACCCCCCAATGTACTTTCGTAATGTAATTAGCAAACTGGATCCATACAACTACAATGAGTTATGGCTTTGTCCTTTAAAATACTCAACATGTAATCTTTTACCTTCAGATTTAATTGTGTTAGGTAGGTAGCAAGCTTCTTAATATCTTGATTTTACGGAGGCCCAGAAATTTTGTGTAAACTTGCACAAGGTCAAACAGCTGATTCACTGAGACTAGTTATCAGGCTTTTATCAAATACCCAATTCAATCCTGTCTCCCGAGTTCAGCCTGGTTCACTTCCCACAGTCCCATGAAATTACGAAGTTCAAAGTTATAAATCAAGTGACATAAAACTCAAAATAATGTCTGAGAATTCTGATTACATAAGATCACACAGTATCAATAATTTTAAAGACAAGTAGAAGGATAAACTAATGCCTGAAACTGAAATTTAATTTCACTTAATTAAAATGGTTAGGGGATGGGACATCTTTCCAAGAAAAGACTTTAAAAAGATCATGCCTTTTAAAACATGTGGCCCTGGCCGGTGTGGCTCAGTTGGTAGGAGCGTCATTCTGTACACTGAAAGGTCATGGGTTCAATTCCCGGTGAGGGCAGATGCCTAGGTTTCAGGTTCAATCCCCCGCCCAGGTCCAGGCCCATGGGAGAGGCAACTGATCAGTGTTCCTCACGCTGATGCTTTTCGCTGGTGCTCTCTCTCCCCCCCCACCTCTCTCTCCCTCCCGCCCTTCCCCTCTCTCTAAAAATCAATGAAAAATGTCCTCAGGTGAGAATTAAAAAAAAAATTAAAACATGCAGACGGTATATAAATTAATCTGTTCATCAAATTTCAAGTATCAACCCTGCCGGCATGGCTCAGTGGTTGAGCGTCAACCTATAAACCAGAAGGTTCGATTCCGGTCAGGGCACATGCCGGGGTTTCTGGCGTGATCCCCAGTAGGGGGCATGCAGAGGCAGCCAATCAATGGTTCTCTGTCCCTCTCCCTTCCTCCCTCTGAAATCAATGGGAAAAAAAACCCTAACATATTTAAAATCTTTTTCAAACATCAGAACCACAAGTAGTTTCAGAACAATTAGAAGTTATTACTTTTTCTATTACTCTGACTTCAAGGTCTAAGTCAAGAATCATTTTCTTTCCAGCTATGCAGTACCTGGTCATTGTTTTTTCTTTAGCTCTCCGGCAACTTCAGTCCAACTGCCTTGCCAGTTGGTTGGCCTAAGATACTTAGTATTAGTCTTCATTTCTATGTGAACATAGTATCTCTCCAAATATAAGTTATTTTCTGCTAATACCTTTGGGGGCCTGGTACAATGTAGGCAACATTTCTTTCTTTTCTTTTTTTAAAAATATATCTTTATTGATTTGAGAGGGAGGAAAGGAGAAAGGGAGAGAGAGACAGATAGAAACATCAATGATGAGTCAATGATCAGCTGCCTCCTGTACGCCACCTACTGGGGATCGAGCCCGCAACCTGGGCCTGTGCCCTGACCGGGAATCGAACCTTGATCTCCTGGATCACAGGTTGATGCTCAACAGCTGAGCCACGCTGGCTCGGCTATAGGCAGCACTTCTGATGATGACAACGGTGTAAAACAACTTATTTCCTCAACCCACATTACAAATACAAATGTCAATATTCAGGAAGAACTTAAATACACTGCAGATATATTTGTAACCCATGATTAATGGGAGCAGAGGCTGTCTACAGCGTAGACGGCACTCCCTCAGATATGGGACCTTTATGCCGTATGTAACCTGAACATCAAACCACGGAGGCCCTGGCCATAGAATATCACAGATGAAGAACACTAGGAGTTTTTTAAAAGGGAGGTATTACTTGTTACAGGGAAATCCTAAGCTTTGTGGAAGGTGCCACTGGAGCTAGGTGGTAGTAAGAGGGGTGCTGGAAGAAGCGTGGAAGAGACCTAGGTGGGAGCAAAGGCGTGAGGCTTGTTAGGGCATTCGTGAGTAGTCTGGTTTGGCTGCTTATATGGTTATCTTTAAAAGTCTGCTGGAAACCAGAGTGGAATATTACAGGTGAGAGAGACCCAATAGGAAGGCACATCTGCTAACCTGCCACACGAACACATCTCTAAGATGAGTCAGTGAGTGAAACGGGGAGTCCTGGAAAGGCGGACAAGAGCCAGATTGTGAAGGACCTTGAATACCATGAGGACTTGATCCTAAGCAAAGAGGTAGAAAATACACGGGGGATGAGTAAGACCAGCATGAGGAACATGACTGAATTTTGGTTTAAAAAAAAGAGCAAATGGGGGAAGGGGATCCGTTAGGAGTTAACGGCAACAGTCCAGGCAGGAGATGACCACCTGACCTGAGCCAGCAGCACAGGGGTGGACGCAAGGTTCGTTTTGACAAAGGGCTTGTTAGATCTTGGAGAATGTACGAGGAGGGTGTGGCTGACATGGAAACCAAAGATGATTCTTTCGTGTTTTAGCCTGAGTACACAGGAATGCCCGAAACTGCAGTTAGGGGAGCGGGAGCGGGAGCCAGGCTGCCGAAGGTGAGGCGTGACCCCGCTTCAGACACGACAACACCCTTCCTTACCTTCACCTCCACCGTGAATGGTGGGACACAGGCGTTTTCCGCTCTGCCCACTATCACTTCCTCTAAGGGGTCCCACTCATTGTAGGAGGAGACCGGGCAGTCCTTGGGCAGGGGATCAGTGGCCTTGTCCTCGGCGGCACAGGAATTCCGGGAGGAAGCCGCAGCTGCCTGGGTGCTCTGGAAAGTTCGCTGCACCCATCCCGTTAAGGTTCTTCCAAGCTTCCAAGAAAAAAGGAAAGATTATGGTGAAGTACTGTACAGTAAGCACTTGGGGGAGGGGAAGGAGAGGTGGGATGAGACGTTTAAACTTTCTGGAGAGCGTAAGCCCAGGTGTTAGTTTACAGGTGGGCCGTGGTTACAGGTGAGTTTCGCCCCCCTGTTTACCTACACATTATCTTATCTGTTATGTTAACCGGTGTAACTCTCTAAAACCCCTCAGAGGATTCTGTCCCGACCACCGTACACCCCAATTATATCTCAGAATGGTTTTCTGCGATCAAGCTTTAATCAAACTAAGCAGCTCATCTGCGGATGCTGGGCCCCCTCTCCCCAGAAAGCCGCAGAAAGCTGCTCCCTGTCTCCCTGCCAAGACCAGCTGGGAGGAGGGAGTCTCCTTCCCTTCTCAGTGTCAAAGATGAGACCTTTTTCTCCCCCACAAGTAAAAATACGTAAAGGGCTTTATCTTTCAAAACAATCTGTTTCAAACCACATTTTTTCCATTGCTGACACACATTTCACATTCTTTGGCACTTGGATTCTGAAAATGACCAAGCGCCTGCCATCTCCTCTGGTTTAGGGCCGGCCCACGCCCCCCTGGCCAGGACAGGGATCCGCCCAGGCACACATGGAACAGCTAGAAAGGAGATCTCAGAACGTCACAAGAAGCCTTTTGAAAATGCAGGGCCTGTAGAAATCAAGAGCAGGGAGAGTCCCTCATCCACAGGGCAAACCTCGAGTCCCCAAACCGCTGTCCCACTCTGTTAAAGCCTTAGGAAGGGCGCAGAGGGCGAGCCGTGGGGGGACCGAAGCAAGGAGCGCGGCAGCTGTTCTAGAAGCAATCGCTGGGGTAGGGGGTGACGGGGGGCAGCCAGACTGCCTTGATATTCGGGTTTGAGGAGCTGGGGAGGGTCAGCAGCGCGCACTCACACACCAGGGCAGCGGCGGGCG